CTGCAATCCTTTCTCCTCCATTCTCCTCTCGGGATCTTGGGCACGCATGCACACGCGCCCAGCGTGAGTTTTAAGTCACCGGGTCCAGGACGCGAACCGCGGTCGACTACGTGGGAGTCCAGCGACATAGCCATTATGCTAACTGCTGGTTCCCTGGGGGAAAGGTTTTTTGTTTTTAATTAATTCAAGACAAATGAGTATGAGTTTATTTTGGTGCAAAAATAAAAATTGAAATCCACAGTTTTTCAGTAACACACATTTTCTTTTTTTAAAGAGCTATTTATTTATTAATTATCATTATTATGATTTAATTCACTGCAGGGCACATGCACTCGCCAGACAGAGAAAAAGAGGAAGTAAGAAGGCAAGCCACCAGGTCCAGGACTTGAACCATAGTCCATCATGTGGGTTTCCAGTACTCCAACCACCACACCACCTGCTGGTTCCAGTAACACACATTTTCTACCAACTTTTTTTTTAAAAGAGATTTTTGCTATAGGGCATGTATGCTTGCCAGAGAGACAGAGAGAAACAGAAAACAAGAAATTCCCCCCCCCTCCAGAGGGGATGGCCAGGCCTCAATCCATTCTCCTTTAGTCTCCTCTCAGGATTTTAGGCACACACATACAGGTGTCTGGCTTGAGTTTTATGCTGCCGGGTCCAGGACTTGAACTGTGGTCAACTACATGGGAGTCCAGTGACATAACCATTATGCCATCTGTTGGTCCCTCTATACATTTTTTTTTAAGAATTATTTATTTTATTTTACTTATTCATTCATTTTATTATTTTTTTTTAATTTAACCAGAGAGAGACACAGAGAGAGAGAGAGAGAGAGAGAGAAAGTGATAAAGCAAGTCACTAGGTCCGGGACTTGATGGTTGGCCATGTGGGCGTGTCCAGCGCCTTAACCACCACATCACCTGCTGGTCCCCCCCCATAAACTTTTTGAAAACTCCTTAGATTACTTTGGTTAAGTCCCTATCCCACCAAAGTAAGTCCCTGATTCTTAAATCTAACATAGTTTAATTACTCTGTAAAACAAACAATGACATTACATTCTAGACTATGTTTCTTCCAACTAAATTTGCCATTCATACTGGGATAGTGAATAGCCAAGAGAACATAAGGAAAACACCACTCTTGGCTCCTGTTTCAAACTATGAGGAAAAGGTATTTTAAAATGTTATAAAATAGGGGGCCGGCAGGTGGCATGGTGGTTAAGGTCAACCATGACTCAAGTCCTAGACCTGGTGGCTTGCTTTCTCGTCTTCCCTCTTTCTTGCTCTGTCTGTCTCTGGTCAAATTAAAATAGATAAATAAATAAATAAAGTCAAATAAAATAATTATTTATATTTTTTGTAAAGGTTTTTGCTATAGAGAGCGTGCGCTCACCAGAAAGACAGAGAGAGACAGAGAGATAAAAAGTGAGAAATCGCCCCGGGGTGATGACCACACTGCAATCCCTTCTCCTCCATTCTCCTTTCATGATCTTGGGCATACATGCACATGTGCCTGGCATGAGTTTAAGCCACTGGGTCCGGGACTCGAATCACGGTCGACTACATGGGACTCCAGTGACATAGCCATTATGCCAACTGCTCGTCCCAAAGTCAAATAAAATAATTCTTTGAAAAAAAATGATGTTAAAATAAGCAGAAGGCCAAATGAAAAAAAATTTTTAAATGTTTTATATATATATATATATATAATTTATTTTATTATCATTATTAATTTGATTAGAGAATGATAGAGAAGGAAATTGGGAAAGCATGCTGCCAGGTCTAGGACTTGAATTGTGGTCGACCAGGTGCAAGTCCAGTATCTTAGCCATCACATCATCTGCCAGGTCCCTTCCCACTTTTCTTTTTTTTAATTTTTGGAGAGGTTTTGCTATAGGGCGTGTGCGCTCACCAGAAAGACAGAGACAGAAAGCGAGAAATCACCCCCCAGTTGGGATGGCCATGCCGCAATCCCTTCTCCTCCATTCTCCTCTCGGGATCTTGGGCACACATGCACACACACCCGACATGAGATTAAGCCACCGGGTCTGGGACTCGAACCGTGGTCAACTACATGGGAGTCAAGTGACATAGCCATTACGCCAACAGCTGGTATCCCCTTCCGTCTTATTTTATAAATACAGAATCATTCCCTGTTGTGTCTATTTCCTTGAGGACTTACCAGCTTTGTATCCTTGAGCAATGGCTTTCTGCTTGCCAACCTTCAGCATCTCCTTGTTAATATCACAGATCATGACATGGGAACCGCCCAAGGAATCCTCTTCATTTTGGTATGTTTTGGCAATTTCTTCCCATGATACATTTTGTTGGCCTCTTAACTGCCTCTTCTGCTTTTTCTGATGCTGTGTTTGAACATAATTAAGGAATCGGAAGGCTATGTCACCTGTGGGAAGTCAACAAGAGAAAAGATGCAAAAACCAAATAAAAACATTTCTTAAGTCTCAAAGGAGCGGAATCAGCAGATGCTATAATGGTTATGTCGCTGGACGTAACCAGCTAGTCAACCACTGTTTAAGTCCTGGACCTGGTGGCTTCAAACTCATGCTGGGTGCGCATGTACGTGCGTGCCCAAAATCCCGAGAACAGAATGGAGAAAGAAGGGATCCTAGTGTGGCCACCTCCCCAGGTAGGGGGGTGATTTCTCACTTTCTGTCTCTCTGTATCTCTGGCAAGTGCATGTGCCCTACGGCAAAAATCTCTCTACAACAAAAAAACAAAAAACCCAAAGGAGCAAAAAAAAAGTACAGGATTGGATGAATGTATGAAGATGAAAGTTTCAGGCCAGTAAGTGGCACAGAGTTTAAAGCACTGGATCCCACATGGCCAACTACATGTTTCAGGTCCTTGACCCAGAGGTTTGAAAATGACACCAGGTGTGCGTTTGTCCAAAATCTGTAGAGGAGACTGGAGGATAAAAGAAATTGTGGCATGGCCATCCCCCGCCCCCCACCTCCACCCCCTGGAAGTGATTTTTTACTTTTTTTTTTAGAGGTTTTTGCTATAGGGCATGTGTGCTCACAAGAAAGATAAGAGACAAAGAGACAGAAAGCGAGAAATCACCTCCCAGGGGGGATGGCCATGCTGCAATCCCTTCTCCTCCATTCTCCTCTCAGGATCTTGGGCATACATGCACATGTGCCTGGAGTGAGTTTAAGCCATTGGGTCGGGGACTTGAGCCATGGTCAACTACATGGGAGTCCAGTGACATAGCCATTATGCCAACTGCTGGTCCCGATTTTTTACTTCTTTCTCTGTCTTTGTCTCTCTCTGACAAGCGCATGTACCCCATAACAAAAACTTAAAAAACAACAACAACAACAAAATGTTTATACATACTTCAAAGGTAACTTTTCTTTTTAAACAAAGAAAAGGAATAGAGAGTTGGGGACCAGCAGGTGGCGTGGTGGTTAAGGCACTGGACACTCCCACATGAACAAGCATGGCTCGAATTCCGGACCTGGTGACTAGCTTTCTCACTTTCTCTCTCTTGCTCTGGTCAAATTAAAATAAGTAAATGAGTAAATAAAATTAAAAATTCTGTATATAAAAA